TCTGCCAATTTTTCATTAAAATTCACCAAGATCTCCGGAAACAACAACATTCCAACTAGACGTCATTTTCAATCTTGTGCATGCGCAATTCGTCTATTGCTACCGAATATTACCGAATGCTCAAGATTAGCGTAACCCATTGTAGGAAGGTGCCAAAAGCTAACAAAAACCAATGTTTGTGAACAAACATTGACAAACAATCATAGGGTAAATCTAAAACAATAGCGTCATGGCTCCTTTCGTTAGTACCTTCCATGGACAAACCAAATAATGTGTTTTCATCAACCAGTGTTTTAGTATGTAATAGTTTTTTATGGTGTCGAAACACATCCACGTTCAAAATAAACATTTCCCTTGTCACTCAAACTTATTTACAGTATGAAACAAAAACGACTGCATTCGCATTATACTTTGAATCGTTTAATTTATGCTGGAAATTTTCATGATTTGTTGTCATTCATGAAGACAGATTTAGTGTGAAAGTCACTAACATGTCATAGAAATTTATGAAAATTGTCTCTAAATAGTAAATATTTTTTTATAGCATGGATGATTATTGGCATGATTGGAGCTTTTATCTTTATTATTATTCAGTTGGTACTCCTGATTGACTTTGCCCACTCTTGGAATGAATCATGGGTTGAAAAAATGGAAGACAGCAACTCAAAAGCATGGTACTTTGGTAAGATGAATCACATTTATCGATTTTGTCAAATCAGATATTAAGGCTCGGTCAAATCAGATATTAAGGCTCGGTCAAATCAGATATTTAGGCTTGGTCAAATCAGATATTGAGGCTTGGTCAAATCCGATATTGAGGGCTGTGTCAAATCAGATATTGATGGCTTGGTCAAATCAGATATTGATGGCTTGGTCAAATGGGATATTGAGGGCTGGGTCAAATTTGATATTGAGGCTCGGTCAAATCTGATATTGAGGCTCGGTCAAATCAGATATTGAGGCTCGGTCAAATCAGATATTGAGGCTCGGTCAAATCAGATATTGAGAGTCGGTCAAATCAGATATTGATGGCTTGGTCAAATCGGATATTGAGGGTCAGTCAAATCAGATTTTGAGGGCCGGGTCATATTAGATATTGAGGACTTGGTCAAGTTAGATATTGATGGCTGGGTCAAAGTAGATATTGAGGATCAGTCAAATTAGTTTTGAGGGCTAGGTCAAATCAGATTTTGTGGGCTGGGTCACAGATATATAATTACCAGCAATAAATTTGTATTAAACTATAATGCATTACAGTCAAACTTATGTGGCTGTCAAGACATTGTACATAAGCAGTAGGATTTAAGTGAGATTAGTGACATGGCAGTTCAGTTATCATGTATTATGAATAACAACATAAACCCACCTTTTATATATCCTGATAGTGTATTATATTTGTTTACAGCACTGTTGGTGTTTACTATATTATTCTATTTGCTGGCATTGGCTGGAATTATCGTCTTTTACATATTCTACACCACAGTAAGTTTATTTTACAAATATCATTAATATTTGCTTACTATAGTTTGGTTAATGTCACTATGATGAAATGTTATGCATATATATGTATATGTATGCAGGATCATGAAAGGTAAAGATAACAGTATCTGTTTGTTTGAACTACAGGGGGGAATAGCTAGGAACTTCAAACTTGGCACACAAGTTGGTTACATTTCCAGGACAAAGAAAAAAAAAAGCATTTCTTTTCATCATTTGACCATGTTTATTCAATATTCAATTCATATTCCATTTTTATTATGTCCTATTTTTTTAGCCCCATGACTGTGCACTGAATAAGTTCTTCATCAGCTTTAACATGATAATGTGTATTATTCTGTCAGTTATATCTATCCATCCCAAGATACAAGAAGGTATGTTTTTTTTGTGGGTCGTATTATCAATAGTATATGTTAAAGAATCTAATTAAGTTCTTCACTTGAAAATAGCTTGCAGAATGAGGTACAATGAAATTGAACCAAATCAAAATTGTCGGCATTATAGAAGTATTCACTGTTTAGGCCAGACTTTTATTTCAGCGTAATTTCTCGCGCCCGCCGACATGTGAGTGCAAACAATTGCTAAAAAAAATAATTATTATCTTCATTTTTTTTCCGCCCGCCGCCTAACAAATCCAAGTTGCATTTTCATGGGAGTATCATGATCAAAGTACAAAAGTAACGCGCAGATCTATACTTTATGCGCGTTTTCAGTGAATCTCGGGTGTACCTCTGTGCGTGCTGCTTGAGACTACTAGGTGAACATGGCGGCGCAGTGGTTTGTGGTGACACTGAGAAATCCCTCATTAAGGCTGAAAATTGTGCCACAATTGGCGACATTGCCAACCAGGTTATACATAAAAATTTATTTCATTTCTTCTCTCCGATCAATGGATTACAATTCTTTGAGAATCACACAAATCTAATGAAAAAAAAGAATTAATTTTATTATTTCTTTCGCCCTCCTCAAAAAAAAATTACTTATAAAACTCGAGAAACAAGGAATAAAAAGTCTGGCCTTAGACAGATTTGCAGTTTATTCACGATTAACTGACTTTTTAAGTACTATATTTTTCCTTATTTAAATGGCTGAGGTTAAAGATTCAGTTTAACAGAAATGCCATTTTTTTGTACTTATTTTGGAACATTTTTTTAACAATTGGCAAATTAGGGTATAGGGAAATCACAATCTGTTGGAACTTAGAATAGAACCGCTTTTATAGAATTTCAGCATTGATTTGTATAGGAGGTCGTCACCTGCACACACACGGGAATTGAGTCCCAAGCGATGATAACACACTAAAAATGCAAAGGCTCATGGGTAGACACTTGTTTGTAAAAAATGACAGGCTATGGCCATCTGACGTATGCGTGGGTGACGACTCCCTCGCTTCAACTCTAGGCAAAATATCCAGGAAGTAGAAATCGCTCCTTATTGTGTACACTACAATAGATGCTTGATTTGGTTTTATTTGCAGCCCAGCCACGTTCTGGTCTTCTTCAGGCTTCTGTTATCTCTCTGTATATTGTCTATTTGACTTGGTCTGCCATGTCAAGTGAACCTGATAATGGTAAGTCGTAATTTAACACTCATTTTGCTGCTCAGCCTGGCCTGTATAGATTTTAGATTTGATTTCTTTGAATGTATGTAATGTCTATTGAGAAACTTCATAGTGTGGTAGTTAAGACTTTTACCTTGGTACACAGTGACGATATAGAGATGAAGCTAAGAGCTAAAGATTCCAGGGAAATGGTGATGTTCAGGCAAACTGGCAGTTGGGACATTCCATTATCCAGGAAACTGAGAATGTGACACTCACAACACTACTATTTCTAATATGGGCTCAATGACAATATCAACTTTCAATCAACAAAATTTACAATTATTGTTGCTTTTTAATATCTATTCCCAGTTTAATGTACATGTTACATTTCTACCAAGTCTTACAGCAATTTTTTTTTTACCTACAAAAGTAATGGAATGGTCAAACTATGCCGTCCAGTGAGACCACACGTCAAAGAGGGGATGTACTTGGGGATGTTGCAAAACCTCTTGGTGATTGACTGCCTACCAGGCACTTGTAAAGTACATTGCATTATACAAGTGTGATAATAACACAATGTATTTTTATTTTCCCAGTGTGCAATCCAAAGTTGAGTGATATATTTCATCGTCTTACGCCTAGTATAAATGCTACTGTTGCTCCAACTGCAACTCCAGACCCCAATTCTGTACCGACCATTTCTTCTCTTGGTGCAGAAGGCATTATTGGTTTAGCTCTCTTTATTCTCTGTGTTCTTTATGCAAGGTATGTATGACTTTAAATACTGTTTTACAAGGGTCAGTCGTGTCTGTAATGGGATGTCCTTCAAAATGTTAACATGTTGCCATTCACACAAATATTACTTCCATTCACGGGCAGTATTTGGCATGTTATCAATGTGTCAATGGTATTTTTAGCAGTACCGTTATTAGATTCCTTCACAGTGCCAAGTTTTTACTTTCAATTAATTGTGTGATCCAAGCATTTCACATCAGTGTTTCACAAATTACTTGAGGGAGTGCGCCCTCAACATGTGTTCTTATTGGCCATTGAGGGCGCTAAACTAAGCTTATCAGGTGCTTTTGATTTGTACAATCGTAATTATGATTAGTTTGACATCATGATTATTAGTCCCCGTTCGGACGAAGTCCGAAAACGGGGACTTATAATTCGGTCTCCGTGCGTCCGTCCGGAGTCATATCTCAGAATCCCTTGGACCGATTCCGTTCATTCTTTGCATGTGCCTAGTACTTTATGTGGGACATATGCACATGCAGTGGTTCAGCGATTCGATTCAAAATGGCCGACTGGCAGCCATCTTGTTTTTTGAAAATGTTGTATTTTGGACATGCTTTGTCAGTTTTCATTCAAACTTGGTACATAGATTATACATGTTAGGATACATGTCCATGACGATTTATTTCACAATTGGATCAAAGATGGCCAACTGGCAGCCATCTTGTTTTTTGAAAATGTCATATTTTGGACATGCTTTGTCAATTTTCATTCAAATTTAGTACATAGATCATACATGTTAGATACATGTCCTGACCGTCCGTGAGTTCCTGAGTCTGTCTGTCCGTCCATCCGTGTGTCCGTATGTCCATGTGTCAGTCTGTCCAGAGTCATATTTCAGAATCCTGTTGACCAATTCCCTTCATTCTATGCATGTGTCTAGCACCTTATGTGGGACATATGCATATGCAGTTGTTGAGCGATTCGATTCAA